GGCCCTGGCAGTCCCCTGTTGCCGGTGATTCCCGGAGGGCCATACGTGGTGTCACCTGGAAGCCCTTTCTGACCATCTATGCCAGGTGGACCTGGAGGGCCATTTTTACCATCAACTGTAGGTCCTCTTTCACCTTCATCACCAGGATCCCCAGCTGTACCTCGAAAGCCTGTTGATAAGAGTTTTAAATTCAAATAGGGCATAATTCAGGAAGTGTTTGAGGTGGGGTTTTTCTCCCAAACTGTGAAATATTATAATCCAAATTTAACCAGATTTAAATTATCACTTTGCAAAGAAAAATAACAGGTTTCCCATTTATAGATAATGATACATGAGGTTTGAAGGAAGTAATTCCTGGGGGAAGTGAAAGTGGTTTTCTCTGGGGCAGCACCTGCTTTGAGTTTTGTCACTCTTGTCCCGTTCAGTCCCTTTACTAAAGTGATACTAATTGCTCTCAGTTTGCTGAGAGTATTTCCTCTATGGACACTGAACTTTAGGTTACTGCAGCATCTGCAAAGCTGGAGCAAAGAAAGGGAAACTTCCATCAGCTTTTGCTGAAGTGTGCATTCTATTTCATGTTCTATTCTATTCCATACTGACACAGTAGCTGTCTCCCCATGCATGAATCCATTACATCTTGATCAGCAGACCTCCTGGATTAAGAAAAGCACAATTCACCTTCTGGCCCAGGGATTCCTGCTCCTGGCCTGCCTCGATGGCCTTTTTGCCCATCGAAGCCACTTGGTCCAGGATGCCCAGGGGGTCCTTTTAAACCTTTTGGTCCTAGAAATAAAAAGAAAGTATGTAAAAAAACCTGACCGAGGACTAAAATTTGTGATGTAGGGGTGCTTTATCTTTATCCCATGCAAATTCACATACTTTAAAAACAAGTATTTCATCTGCTTCTAACTCTTTGGGCAAGAGCCACCACCCAAGTCACAAACAAATGCATGGCTGCTGTTTTTCTAAATGGACTTGTGCCCTATTCCTTAAACAGCAAACTGCAAATCACTACAGCCAACTAGAAAAGAAAAATCTTTCTTGTAACACATTAATGTTACAGGACATCAACAGTACTAACCTAGTGAATCACAGGTGTCAACACAAGTTCTTATGTTCCCCTGTGCTATATCCTGTGCTGGATTGGTGCAGATGAGCTCCATACACTAATCCCTGGCCTTTGATGTCTGTATAAATTTTTGCTCCCACCCACAGTACTGATGTCTGGGACCTGTGTAATACCATATTAAGCAGCTTGAAAATCCACTCTCTCTATTTATTCTGATCAGGATTTTCTGGGGTATTTCAAATGTTTTGGAGGTGATCACAAGAAATGTTTTGTCAGTTCCTGGATGAGTTCTTTGACTTGAAATCAAGTTGAAGTAATCGTAATAAGTATTCAGATTTTAGGGCTCAATTGCAACTTGACATTTGCAATAGAGTTTTTTTCGAAATTACAGGCTTGCAGCATCATTGCCTTGCACATCTTTTTTTTTCCTGCTATTAAGATATACATATTCTAGGTCTTGTCTGATTCCAGCTGTCTGCATATTTTACACCCTCTTGTGCGCTTCAATTGAGGCAGGACAGAATTTGAAGCCACCTTCATTTAATTATTTCTATGGAGGCAGCCTGTACACCTTCTGATCATGCAAACTGCAGCTGTTTGGGCCTTGATTCTTTTATGTATTTGCAGTGTTACATTTTGAGACATCTATCTGTTGAAAAGCTAGAATAGTATATAGCTTTTTAGGATGGTTCATAGAACCACACAATCAATTGGGTTACAAAAGACCTCCAAGATCACCAAGTCC